ATAATACCTGCTCAATTTAAAAAAAATAAAATAAAATATATATATAAGGAATATATTGTGGTCAATCCTTTCGAGGATTCACTCTAGCTCTAGCTTTACTTTAAGAGACTTGAAGAGATATCGATATAATTGACAGAGGTATTTATGAACTTATATGCAGATTCGCTTAGGGGAGAAGCCACTGACGACTTTATTAGTGCCACGCCCCCCCGTGGCACAAAGCACAAAGCTGCAACGCCTTAACAGGGAAGTCTTGCTTCAAATTCCAGTTGCTACAAATGAGAGACAAATGCCACAAAACCGAATATACTCCACTCGACTACTCCGAGCAAGTATGACCAAAAAAGACAGCAATAATAATCTGAAAATTGAAAAAAGTAACGGTATTCTATATCTATGTACAAATATGAATTTCTGTGCAGACTCTTCTATATACATATATGAGTGTGTGTTTGTGCATGTGCATGTGTATTTGGCCAAAGCTTCGTTACACCAAACTCAAACAAATTTTCACTTTGAGCAGGCAACATTTGCACTGTGAAAAACTTGGCTCCTTTTTGTTTTTTCATCTACCCATGTTGTTGTTGGCTCTGTGTGTGTCTGTGTGTGTGTGTGTCCGTATGTGTGCTTTCCTTTTGTGTGCCATGCGCCGCATGCAAATTTTCTATGCGAGTTTACACTGACATGCGTAAAAGTTATTGTTTCAAATTTTGTACTTTCTATTGGAATTGGTTCTTGTCTGACTGCCCACCCGTTGTTGGGCAACCGCATGTCTATCTATCTATCTCTATATACATATACATATGTGTAAAAGATATATATTTTTATATACATACACATATACACATAGTATATAGATATGTATAGCAGCGCATGTCGAGCAAAAAAATGGATATCAATCGCAGCCAGCCTCGATTGGGCATGGCGCACTAAGAGAATGCTCTAAGCTTTGCCAACCACAAATAAATTGATATTATATGTATGTATATGTATATGCATATATGCTTATAAGCGCTATTATCAATAAATAAAATACAATTACCAGAGGCAAGAGGGGAAAAAAACGTTGGCAATCAAAGCATAACAAGCATTTTCATTAAGGCCTAAACAAAATAGTTGAACAAAAGGCTTAAAACAAATAACAAAATATTACGCACAAAATGAAAAGCAATGAAAATGTTTGCAGTGCCAAAGGCTGGCGAAAAAATACCCTGTATTCATCAGAAAGAAGGGGAGTCTAAGAGAGAGAGATAGGCAGGGATGAGAAAGTCTATTGAGCCTCATCTCATCTATAATATCTACAAAAATATTAATGAAATATACATAATATCAATATACCCGCTTTGCATGGCTTTGAATGGGTATTAAATAAAAATGTTCAAAAAAATTGGGGAAAAGCAAGTCAAAACTCTAGACATGAGGCCAAAAACTCTTTGAGCAGAGGCGTAAAAAATTACATACGTATGTACATATATCTGTGTGAGCTAGTGTGTGTGTGTGTGTGTGTGTCTGTGGCAAAACAAACGAAAGATGAAACAGCAGCTGGTAAAAATTTGTTATAGCCTTTGTGTTTCAGTTAGCACCAACAAAATGCTGAACCCACAGGCCACGTGGCAAACAGCTAACTGCACCAGGAACCTAACTCCAAAATAAAAAAAAAAAAATACGAAAAAAATAGAAAACACCAACAAATAGAGACAGGGACAGTGGTGGGTGGGGCGGGGTCGGCATGGCTGGTCATGGCACCGAAATGTAAAGGAAATGCTCACAAAGGCAATGAAAATTTGATTTTATTACAGGAATTTTGATTGGTTGCACTCGCACAATGCAATGTTGCCCCCAAAAAGAGCAAAAGGACACTTGGACAGACGGCCAAAGGGACAGACAAACAGACAGACAGAGACAGAGAGAAGGAGAGGGAGCGGCAACTGAGGGCAGCAGCAGCAGCAGCAGTTAAATGCTTAATTTGTGCTGCATAAAACGCTTTTAGATTGCCTGCCAGTTGGCCATTTAATGGGCAATCAGGCAAATTAGGGCGTGACAGCGCCAGTCTAGGGCGGCGAAAGGGTTGAACAGTGGTGAGCAGTGAATGAGGGGTAGGCTTAAATAGCAGCTGTTGTTGCCAATTAAGCAGCACTTTTAATTTTAATTAGTAAACAACGAGCGGCACTTAATTAATGACTAAAACTAAAGGATAAACAAGTCGGTGGCGTCTGTCCAAATGAATTATAATGCGCGCAATAAATTATAATAATAAACATAAATCGAGTGGCCTCACAGCCGCTAATAGACATGCATTATATAATGCGAATGTGTAAGTGTGTGTGTGTGTGTGTGTGTGTGTAATATATATAATTAAGAGCACCCGTCCAGCAGCCGCACACGTATTTGATAGATGCTAAGCCGAGGTCGTGGCCCCCGGGCCTCTGGCACAAATTAAAGACGCACAGAATTTTCACTTTGGCTCTTAATTCAGCCACGCAGTAAATTAATAAGAGCCTCAAATTCAATTATGAGCGAGCTTCAAGGCGAAATGTACTTATGCCCGACTGCCCCGTCAACTGGCTAACAGCGAAACGTCTATATAATTATGTGTGTGTGTGTGTGTGTGTGTATGAAAACTGTCGCCTGCAAAACGGGGCCAAGAGGTGAGCCTATTATCAGCATCAAAAATACTTGGAAATTGGGGCTTAACGTAAATAGACCTGAGTAATTGGACTATTTCAAAGGCTGGCAACATCAAGCTCTTCAGCTGTGACCGCCCGCTCCCCCATCACTCACTCCTGTATGTCTGGAAATTATTAATAAATTTACATCTATTTTAATATTCGTTAAAGCCGAGCAACGAACAAACTTTTCTTTGTCTTCAAAAATAGATGGAGCAATACCCCTATTGTTTATTTGTCTATATGACAGAACCAAAGCTTGGCATTTGAGACTTAGTAGGAAATGATTGATTTGACTGTATGCATATTGCATATGGTAAATATGTATTCGAATATGGTTTTATATAGTGCAAAACTGATTTTTGAACTATGAAATATTTATGTCTATCAAGTTCTATATAGATGCTACACTCAGATGAACTCAGAGTAAGAGGTAGAACGAGCAATGTTGTAAGCAGGTGTATGATCCACAGTGATCTATGCTTAACTGATCTCTACGCAGAGTGATGCCTTTTACTTAAAATTATCTAAAAACATTCTTCTCAAAAATGAATGATTATTGCTCCTTGTAAATAATCTTCCATGCCACGAGCTCATACGACGGATAATAAGAGAATATATGTCAAGCCTATTCACTTATATTCCTATACTACATAGATCGTTTTGACGTTGGGAAAGCTAGTTTTTATCAAGCATGTTGACTGTCTACCTTAATCTTACATAATAGCATATCCGACAATCTCTAACACTTGTATTTAGAGTCCTTTCATTCAGTGTTTATTAAAAGTTATCAAAGCCAGAAAATTACAAACTTTATCAACCATCTTAGTTCAGTGCTAGATTAAACAAATCATTGGAGCATATGCCGAAAACTTGCAAATGCAGCAACTCAAATGCAGCCTTCATGCAAACAACGGACAAAGGCACTGCCATAATCCCATTGAAGTGCTTAATTAATGTACGGATTTTCAATTGCCTTTTGTGCAATTAAAGTCCAAATCAACTGTCAATAAGCCATTACGCAGACACACATGCATTTAGCTGCAAGCTGGGCTGTGATATGGACTTTTGCAAGTTGTCGCCCCCTGTTCTCCTCCTTGACCTTTATCGGCTCAAAGGCTGCTTGTGTCTTAGCTGCTTTTGACAGCACTCTGATGCAGTTTTTGTGGAAAAAGTTGTTGACTGTAACACTGGTGTCCCAATTGTTAATTGCTCAAATTCCTATTCGTCTTATTGGACTGTGCAATTACGTTCGACAACATTGCGTATGCGTTATATTTGCCAAGACACACCAATTTTATTTGCGGTGCTGAGTTTTGAGCAACTGACCAAGATTTAAAAGTACGAAATTGGAAAAGCTGAACTCTCATCTATTGCTGGGACAGCAATTGCCTGACAGCTCACTCTATGCAGTGCTGCCTGGGTCAGGCTAACAGCTGCACTGAGAGAGGCGAGCAGTATTTGCATAATTTGATAGCGTCAGGAAATAGCATGCCGATGTCTGAATGATTTACTTTATCTTTGTGTGTGTGTGTGTGTGTGTGTGTGTGTGTGTGTGTGTGTGTGTGTGTGTGTGTTGGTGTAAATGTGAAGGTATTTGGTTGAATGCTGGTGAATGTTTGTGAGTTTGTTGGTGAGTGTGTTGGTGTATCTGTTGGTTCTTAACTTGTTGGTGTTGGTGCATGTGTTGGTGTATTGTTGTTATATTTATTGGTATATGTGTTGGTGAATATGTTTGAGTATATGTTGGTGTATTAGTTGGTGTATTTGTTGATTTATTTGTTGGTGAATAATATATTCATGTGTGTTGGTATTTAACTTTATGTTTGTATATTTTGGTGTATGTGTTGGTGTATACGTTGTGGTATTTCTTGTTGTATGCGTTGTTGAATTTGTTGTTATATTTATTGGTATATGTGTTGGTGAATATGTTGGAGTATATGTTGGTTTATTTGTTGATTTATTTGTTGGTGAATAATATATTCATGTATGTGCCTTATGTATATGTTGTTGTATGTTGTTGGAGCATATGTTGATGTATATGCCGGTGTATATTCTGGTGTATGTGTTGGTGTATACGTGGGGGTGTTTTTGTATATGTTTGGGTATATGTTGGTGAATTTGTGGTTATATTTGTTGGTGTATGTGTTGGTGAATATGTTGGACAATACGTTGATGTATGTGTTGCTGAAATTGTTGGTATATATGTTGGTGTATTGGTGTATAAGTTAGTGTGTGTGTTGATGTATGTGTTGGTGTATTACCTGGCATATATTTTATTATTTGCAGTGATGTATATATCATATCATAAAGGAAATAATTATATTCATAATATTTATTATTTGCATTCAATTATTGTACATATTATATTTAACATATCACTAGTCCGGTTTCAACTTAGGCGCATAGACCTCAACCCCATCAAACTCAACATCCTGCATATTATTCGGCTGTGGATAATCGCCAAGCCATTCAATTTGTAACATGTGTACAAATTTGTCGAAGTCATCTTCAGTGAACACGTGCTGATAGGGATACTTGAGGCATTGCATATGGTACTCGCACCTGGGATGATACATCCAGTTTCGCGGACGAAACAATTTCTCTTCATCTCCGGGAACCGGTGTTATCGTTTCGCCATCCTTTTCCCTCTGAATATGCAAGCTAATGTAGGTCATTGTATCGAATATCATTTGTCTCAGATCCGGATTCGCTTGGAACTCCTGCAAGACACGCTCAGTGGTGCCAATGGGCTTCTTCTCCGCCTCCAGGCCCATATTGCGCAGCCTAAATAGCATGGGCATTGGCAAAAAAGGGAATCGCACACACTTTATAACCGTCTCCAGGTGCTTGAGCCGCTCTTCCGATTTGCTCAGCCAACGTAGTGCCGAATAGAACACTTCGGCCTCACTGTTAACACCGATTGTGTCGCGAGTTAGCATGCTCAATAGATGACGAAGCTTCAGATCCTTGAATTTATCACTGCCCACCAAAGGCAAGAAGTAGGTACATACGCGATTCAATAAGATATCGCGCACGTCTTTCAGCAGTGGCATAGGCTCGGCGTCCAAAAATATTTTAAACGCGATTTTCTCCCGCACATAGGACTGAGAGATCAGTTTAAAGCAATCTCCTTTAAGTATATCCACCTGCAAATATCTAGTTGCCTGCAGCACTTTAACGGCGTTGAATAATGTGACGGGCGTACGAAAGCGCATCCATTCATAGATGAGCTCAAACGCCGATGGGGAAACGTCAGTCCCATTGAGCTCAAAGACTTCAACGTTCCATTTTTTCGAGGCGAACCAGTTCGAGTGCAATCTCAGCAACGAAGATATGCATTCGAACCAGCGGTCGCCGACTTTAATAAAATTGTTAGGGTCCAAATTTAAGTTAACCCTTTCGGCCACCAGATCCTCAAGGCTTGGTTTGTCCGCCATTGTCAAAATGTAGTTTGGATTCTCTATAAAATCGACAAAAGTGTAAATCGATCGCTCATAGACTCTGGGTACTGGCAAACCGAACGAACAACTGTCATCATAATCCATGAACTCCTTCCAAATTACTGAATCGCTCCCACTATGTACTGATTGGGATTTGTCCGAAGCACTCACAGAGCCTCTAGGTGTTTCATCCTCACTCGTATTTTCGTTTATATCATCAGATTTCTTCAAGTATTCTGCGTATGCTGCCGATAGCTCGTCAAGTATATCTTCCGTTACGTATTCGGAGACGTAAGCGGTTAAATGATCACTAGTGTCCTCAATCAGTTTCTGAATGATATCATTAATGATGAAATCGGCAACACAATCCGTTAGCTTATCATCATAAATCCTTGCCGCAAACCCGGGCGCATCAATCAGCGCTTCAGTGTCAACTTTTTGCTTTTTTTGCTTGTGTAAGAACTCAGTTTTGAAAAACTTATATCTCATCTTATCCAACTCTTCCTCTGTTGCATCCATAGCGCCCACCCCGCGTATTCCACTCATCGTTATAACCTTTTCTAAAAGTGCATTCGCGGTTACCAATTTTCTCACGCATTCCATAGTCGCATCCGTTACTTCGTCAATATTTAGATTTTCAACTGTAGCTGCAACGACCTCATCGATGACAGAGCCAGATATTTTTCTGCTCAATTCGTTAACATTGTCAGCCCGTGAATTGTCTTTAGCATCGCGCACGATTTCTGCAACCACATTCCGCGTGATGTAGTTTATAACCTGTTTAATGCCTGAATACCCCTTATCGTCATCGTTATCGGAACTCGATGGAGGAGTTTCTAGTGCATCAAAACGAATCATTGGCTACAAATTGACAATTAGTTTCACTTGATTCGACTTACTTGTGATTTTCGGCTGACGTCTTGGATAATGTTTTGTTGCCCGTAGAGTATGTTGCAAATATTCTGGAAATTCAAAATGGTTGATTTATTGTAAATTGTCTTTTGCATTCCCATTGCTGTCTTACCTCCTTTGTGAACAGCATCGCCCAGAGAATGATCATATCCACGATAGCTACGTAATGCACATTCTAGAATTTCAAAAGGAAGTCAATCTTTCCATTAAGACTTTTTCTATTCTCACTGATCGTCGACTTACCTGAGCTACTCCCAGAATTACTTAAAGAATTGTTGCCAAAATAAACGTTTGCTAAAATTTCAAAATGTGTTTCTTTTATTATTCTCATTAATTTTGTATTCTCATTGATGTCCGCTTACCATTTCTATAAGAAGCTTTACCACCTATACAGTGGGTGCATCCTTGAACTCTATGTAAGGAACATTCTACAATTTCAAAAAGATGTTATCTGTTTGCTATTGGTTTTATATTCTCATGTCGACTTACTCGAGCTACTATCAGAATCGGCTAAAAAATTAACACCTGCCCCAAGACAATTGTAACCATCTAAAATTTCAAAGTAATTTCATTCAATTTAGAACAATTCCATTTTTTGTATTATCATTGATTTCTTCTTACCATTTCCATAAGTGGAATCGCCTTGGGAGTCATCACATACCGGAGCACTCGGTTTGTATTCTGAAATTTCTATGTTGCCCAACTTATTTTTCCCATCACTAACAGAACTGCTTGTTGCACGAAGCGTATGAGAACTTTCTAAAATTTCAAATCGGGTTTATCCATTACAAATTGACTATTATTATTCTCTTACCTTCGTTATCGTCACTATCGCTTGAGGTATCACTTCTTTGCAAAACCGATTCGTTTTCTAGAACTTCAAAATTTAGTCATCTGTTGTATATTTTTTTTTTTAAATTGTCATTGATATCTTACCATTTCTAATGGTAGCGTCACTTTTATAAGTCTTACATAATATAACACTCTGCTTGCCTTCCAGCGAGCCTAAGCGATTTATTCGATTACAAACTGATTTTTTGTATATTCACTTATATCAACTTACCCGAGTCGCTGTCAGTATCACTTGACTTACCGCTACTACCTTGAGTAGTGAGTTTGCTTTCTAGAATTGCAAAATTTATTCATTTGTTATAGATTGGTGTGTCGTGTTATCATTGTTGTCTTCTTACCTGTTTTCTTGGTAGCATCAGCTTGGCCACCATCAGATGCTAGAACACTCTGCTTGCTTTCTAAGATTTAAAAACGATTTCAGCGATTACAAAGAGACTTTTTTCATTCTCATTTGAGTCGACTTACTTGTCTTACTTTCCACGTTACTAACAGAACTGGTTCCTCCACGAAGCGTAAGACTTTCTAAAATTTCAAATCGGTTACATCCATCAAAAATTGAATATTTATATTCGCTTACCTTTGTTATCATCACTTTCACTTGAAGATTCATTACTTGATCGGATCCCTATAATTTCTAATCAATTTCATTTATTATAAATTTCAGTGTATGTTTTGTGATAATGAATGTAACAGTCATAAAAGAGGTGGGACAGATTTTATATTATAGATACTATAAGGATGTCAACCTGAGTCAATCTAGCCATGTTCGTCCGTCTGTCCGTTCAATCGTCTGCCTGACTTTCAAAATATAATTTGTATACCGTAAGAGCTCGAAGCTTGAGATTTATAGGATAGTTAGAAAATATCATCCCTTAACAAAAATCGGGATATTATCTTCTCAGTCCCCCCTAACCCTTATTTGATATCTTCTCGCTTATGTCGACTTACCAATGTCAGCTTCGGATATAGAATCACTTGTATCACCTGTATCGCTTGCATATTCGTCAATTTCTGAAAAACTATGCGTGCTTTCTAAAGATTCAAAACGATTTTATCCATTACAAAGTGAATTTGTATTCTGATGGATATCGTCTTACCTGTTTGACTTAATTCATCACTCGGCTTATATTCTAACAACTCTAAGAGATTTAATCCATTAAACAATATTACAATATTTTCACTTATGTCGACTTACCGGTGTTATCCTCACCACCGTCTAAAGATCCATGACGTAAAGATGCATGGCTTCGTCGAAGACTATGTTTGCTTTTTATATTTACTAATAGATTTCGTATATTATATGTGGATTCTGTATTCGGATGAACGTTAACTTACCTTTCTTTTCGGAATCATCTTGGGATTCAGGACGTAAAGATGAGTGGCTTCGTCGAAGACTACGTTTGCTCTCTATAATACCTAATGTGTTTCGTATATTATAAGTGGATTCTGTATTCTGATGGATGTTGACTTACCCTTCATTTCGGGATCGCCTTGAGATTCAAGACGTAGAGATGCGTGGCTACGTTGAAGACTATGTTTGCTCTTTATGATTTCTAATTGATTTTGTATATTATAAACGAACTCGTTTCTTATAATATATAAAAATTGTCTTACCTTTCTTTTCAGAATCGTCTTGGGATTCATGACGTAGAGATGCACCGCTTCGGCGAAGACTATGTTTGCTTTTTATGATTTCTAATCGATTTCGTCTATTATTAATTGACCTCATCATAATGAGAGTTCTCTTACCTTTCTTTCCAGAATCGTCTTGGGATTCATAACGTAAAGATGCGTGGCTGCGTTGAAGACTATGTTTGCTTTTTATGATTTCTATTTGAGTTCGTATATTAAAAGTTGATTATTTATTTTTATGGATGTTGTCTTACCTTTCTTTTCGAATTCGTCATCTTGGGATTTATGAAGTAAGGATACGTGGCTACGTTGAAGACTATATTTGCTTTCTATAATACCTAATGTATTTCATTTATTAGAAATTGATTCCTTATTGTTATGGATGTTGTATTACCTTTCTTTTCGGAATCGTCATCTTGGGATTTATGAAGTAAGGATATGTGGCTTCGTTGAAGACTATGTTTGCTTTTTACAATTCCTAATTGATTGCATCTATTAAAACTTGTCTTAGTCTTGTGGTGAGTGTTATCTTACCTTTCTTTTCGGAATCTTCGTCTTGGGATTCGTGACCAAAAGAATCGTAGCTTCGTCGTGAACGATGTTGGGTTTTTATAATATCTAATTGATTTCATGTAATTATTATAAATTGACACCGTATTGTAATGAACATTCTTTTACCTCTCATTTTGGAATCTTCGTCTTGGGAATCCTGACGTACGGACTCGTAATTTCGCCGAAAGCTGTGTTTGCTTTTTAAAATGTCTAATTGAAATTCATCTACTATAAGTTCATTCAAATTATTCAGATGCATGTCGTCTTACCCTTTTTTTTGGAATCATCGCCTAGAGAATCGGTCCTCACTAAACTCTGTTCAACTTGCAAGGCTTCTAGACGAGTTCATCAATTACATATTGATTTTATATATTCGAATGACTTACCTTTTTTTTCATCACGAACGCTTAAAGATTTAACACTTCCTTGAAGACTTTGTTTGCTTTCTAAAGGTTAAAAAAGATTTTACGCATTACGAATTCATTTGTATGTTTCGCTATGGCGACTTACTTGGCTTGGCTTCCACGACTTTTTCATCGTACTCATTTTCAAATGTTGTCCTAAGTATGTGACTCACACAGGACCCTATAAAGCTCCCACTTTGCTCAGCAATTTCTTTGCAATCCTTACCTTTCTTTTTCTTATCGCTCTTAATTGCTTTATCTTTGGCTTTTGGTTTGCGGAGCCTTACATCCTTGAGTGTATCGGTGTCTGATTCAGCTTCATCGTCAGCTTCATTTTCAGAAACAGATTCAGCCTCATCCTTGAGGGACATTTTTTTGTCTCTCAAAGTATAAAATAATTTCTGTTTCCTTTTTTTTCGATTTTTTTTTTTATAAATTTTCACAGCTGTTTTCAGCTTGATATGCTGAATGAAACTGAGCTTATGTAGTTTCCTACTGCCTCAGTTCGATATATGTCTAAGCCTACTCGGTAGAGATTTTATTTCGAATGATTTGCTTTTTAATGATAGATAATATAATACACATATATATTTTTTTATGCTCTTCTATGCAATTCTCATGGGCTTATGTTGTTTTCTTTGACTCTGCTTCTTGATTATTATATTTTAAAATACGTACATTAATGCGCTCTTCTATGCAATTCTCATAAATGTACAATCGGCCTAATGCTCAGCCTCTTTCTGTTACTCTTTGACGCTCTCCTGAAATTCCTTCATCAGTCCTCGACCTATTTCGACTTAGCACAAAGCCATATGGCGAGAGTATTAACATTTCGTCATGCCAAAGAACCTTTTTTGCTCCCTTTTTTTTTTGCTACATATTTTTGCGCTCTTTTTGCGCTCGTCTTCGTTTTTGTGTCAAGTTTGCCTGTTGCACTGCCAGCTTGGCACAATTCTCCCCTTTTTTCGCTAAATTATAAGCGATGTTGTCGCTGTTGCTTTTATTGTTGCTGCTGGCCGTTGCTGTTGCCATTGCTGTTGGCTGTTGCTGTTGCCTTTCTCGTTGGACTGCATTGTGTGACGGCCATTGTCTGGCGCATGTCTGGGCGGCAACGGCGTCCGCAACAATTGCATAGCTTTAATTAAAAAGTTAAATTTTTGCCACTGCCGGCCTATAAAACTTGCACAAAACAACAACTTCAGACACTGAGCGAACGAGTCCTACTTGGCTGGGCGCAGTAAACAAGCCAGACGGAGCCAAAAACTCCAGCTCCGGCCGGCAGCAACTTGAAGCTTGTTTCGAACATTGTTGTGCCGTCAAGCAAAGACATTTACTGTATTCCTGCTGCTGCTGCTTGTGCTGCTGCTGCTGTCATTTAACAGCGTCTTTAACGTTCGCTTATCATCAGGATCCCCATCGACATTAACATCAGCACAATGCAGCATCCTCTTTTGTCGGCCAATAACATTTCTGATGCCTGCGGCAAATTATATTACATTATGAGCAAATACCTACGAGGACATGGCGCCCACGCGGCCTCTTCACGGCCCCTCCCCCTCCGCGCAAAACGTTGTAAATTTTAATTGAATAATGACTAAACGCAAAAACTTATTTAGATTGTCTTTCCATCTAGATATACAGCAACACCCACAGCCCGCGGCCCGTCAATCACATCCGTCTTAAGTGTACCTTATTATTTCTGTTTTTTCTCATTCAGAATTTCAGATTTATTATACTCATTCACTGAGCGAAATGAGTATATATTGGCACTGTGCTAGATCTCGTTGGCTCGTTGAATTTTGATATGGCCTACGATAATAAATAAGTGTTACTCTCCAAAGTTTTTTTTTTCTAGATATATCTAGCGGTAAAAACTCTAATTTAAAGTTACAGATGAGTCCCGATAATTCGCCATGACCGTTTTTTTCGATTTACACAGAAATTCAAATTATCGAGAACAAATTTTGTTTAAGGGGATAACATTTTTTCGATTTATCGATGTACAAATTATCGAGACTCGACTGCATAAGCAAAATTCGTCTATTAATTATCCGAATGCCATTTGGAGGCGTGGTAAATCGAAACAATGGGTTGGTAGTACTTTGGCCTTGATTGAGTATTCTGCAGTCGATAGTACCCGGCTGCGCCGTTCTTACATGTTTTTGTTTTTAATTTAGATGCGTCGAAAATTGAAGGGAATCGCATAATCCGCGTGGCTAATCGCCAAATGTTTTGCGGTCGCATCTCAGCCAAGCTCCCTCCGCCGCGCTCACGCTCTCTGCCCCACTCACTCTCTACGCAGACATGGATGGCTCTATACATTCGCGTCTAATTGGCATTAGCCTGACGTTTGCCGCCGGCGCGCCGGCCAAAGTTTTGCAAGGGCAGCGACGGCTTTTGACGTTTTAAATAAAATTAACACAGAAATTATTTTAGTGTGCGCCAATTTTAAGCCGATTATGCCATTGGCCCAACACGATTTCCATTTGCCAACAAAAACAACAACAACAACAACAAATAGCTACAGTTTCTGCCCTGTCATGTGGATTGGTTAGCAACGCCTGAAACTTCATTGCTCGAAATTGAAATTAGTTTCGATCAATTCAATTGCAAATTTGAGCAACTATAAATACGTGAATTGATAATACAATTTAGGCAGCTCCAACCACACGAGCTCATTGGAGATACTTTTAGCAAGTCTTTTTCTATATCTGGCTTTTAGTACTTGGTCTCGCCTGACAGCTCAAATCGATGCGAAAAAGTCCTAAAGCAACAACAAACAAAATTACATTAAAAGAAAACTTAAGAGGCTGCCAGAAAGCCACAGGGATCAGCTTTTCAGCAAGCCAAAAAGCTACAAACTGTGGGTTGGGCATGCACGAAGACAAAATACCCTCTAATGCAGGGTAAGCCTGGATTGAGCTCGAATGGAGTGCAACTCTTCTGCTCGGTAGAGTACTTGATGGATTTGTAATGCTCTTGATCTACTGCTGCTGCTGGTACTACTACTCTACGGCCCTATACCATCTGGTACACCCTCGTTTGGGGCATAAATTAGAGTCGTATAGTCATACATGAGGCTTATGTTTGCTTTTTAAAAGTCACCGACATTGACTGCACAGACAATGGGCTCAATCAACCTGACCCATCCCCACCACCCTCGCCCTCCATCAATCTCTGCCCCGCCCCTGGCCGCGTTTACCCCTCTGGCAACTGTCACTCTGGATTCCCCTAAACATGAGAAGGGCACCGAGACCCAGTGCAAATTAAACGCTTAACTAACCATTAAACAAAGTTTTGCTTGTAGCTCTGCGGTTTGCGTTCTTCTTGTTATTGTTGTTACTGTTACTGTTACTGTTATTGTTGATGTTGTTGTTGTTGTTGTTGGGTATTTGCTTTTGTTGTATTTGGCTTTGCTGTTCTTGGTGCTTGTTATTTTTAATTAAGCAAATTTTCGCCACAAATATAAGAAAACAAGCATCACACTTAAAAATTGAAACGCACACATAAACACACCAATACATGTGAATATGCATTCATGTGTGTGTGTGTGTGTGTGTGATTGCGGTTAGTTGATTAAATAAGGTCGCTGCTATGTTTGTTGGCCCACACAGCAAATTGTTAATTAAAAATATTTGATGCCTGCCGAACTACATATACGTAAGTATGTGTGTGTGTGTGTGTGTGTCGTATGTATGTATTACATAATCTAATTGGCAGCTTATTCATAGGCTGCAGCCACAATGCACAACTAATGCAACCAAATGTCCCAAGTGAAAGTGCGAAATGCTTTGGCTAAGAAAATTGGTAAACCACATGCACACGCACACGCACATACATGCAAGTGTGCATTCCTTTGTGTGTGCATATGCTGGAAAGAGAACATGATTGGCATGCCAGATATTAAACTATTAAACATAGAAGACAATCATATGAATGCAGATATATGTATGTATAGATAGATAGCTCATAGATAAGCTATGAGCTATATGGCTGCTATAGGTATGCGCATACATACATACAAGCATAATTAGCATGCATTCCTAAATACAAAAATCTTGCATACATACACATATACATACATATATATACATATATACATATATCTTATTCGTATGTAGCATATATATATATATATATATATATATATA